AAAAACCAACCTACTTCCCAAACGGAGACTGAGTGAGTGTTGTGGGGTCGATATATAGGATGAATTAATTCAAGGTAATATTTTTGACTAATGATATATGTATTAATTGATATTAATTAATATATTAAGGTATAATTTTAGAAATTTTGAATATTTATAATTTATATAATGGGTGGGGTCATAATTTTGAAATAATAATATCATAACATAATTAATACATTAATTAATATATTAATTAATACATATAACACTATCGAATATTTTTTGAGTTTGTATCTTTGAAATGGTTGAGAAATACAATTACATTTATTACATTTTTTTTTAATGATTATATAAAATAGTTTCCAGCGCACAATTGTCTATAGGTTTATGCATTTACTACATACAATATGGTCATAAAAGGCCTTAATTACATAGATTTTTAATTTTATGTAGGAAAATTCTAAACATATATAAAATTTGATAAGAATGATGAGATAATGTCATTATTATAAATTAATATATTAAGGTATAATTTTAGAAATTTTGAATATTTATAATTTGTATAATGAGTGGGGTCATAATTTTGAAATAATTTTGAAATAATAATATCATAACATAGGTTGATACACTAATTAATATATTAATTGGTACATATAACACTACCGAATATTTTTTGAGTTTGTTGCTTTGAAATGGTTGAGAAATACAATTACATTTATTACATTTTTTTTAATGATTACATAAGATAGTTTCCAGCGCACAATTGTCTATAGGTTTATGCATTTACTACATACAATATGGTCATAAAAGGCCTTAATTACATAGATTTTTAATTTTATGTAGGAAAATTCTAAACATACATAAAATTTATATAAAAATTTGATAAGAATGATGAGATAATGTCATTATTATAAATAAATTCATCTTTAATAATATTTATTTTGAAATGAAAGGTTCACAATGAATAATATCATTATGTATAAAAATTATGTATAATTTTTATTTATTTATATAGCATTACTCTTTTATTTAACATGGTTGACTCTGATTTGTATCTTAATTGTTTTTGGGCTAAATTATAAAATTGGTCTTTATAATTTAAATTCATAATTTCAATTTCATTAATTTAAACTCTATATTTAAATTGTGTTTTAATGTGGCCCTTTAAAGTAATACTAGAAACCCTAATTCAGATCTTTAAATTTACTTACAATAATGTGACAAGAGAAGTAGGCCCTATACAATTAAATATATCACAAATCAAAAATTGACATATATCCTACTAAATTATTGTGAATCAAATTATAAGAGATTTTTTTGTGGGTCTCATATATTTTTCCTTTAACATTATGAACATAAATAAGCACTTAGTCAGATATCGGTGGTTCTACATGCAATAATTAGTGTACTAACTAGCGTACCAACACTAGTTATGATATTATTATTGACTATACTCATTAATCACATTACAAATCTTAAAAATCTCTTAAATTATGTTGTATCATCAAGAATAATGCTATATGTACTAATTAGTGTACTAACTAGTGTACTAATTGATGATGTGACATAATTTACGTGGTTTTTGAGATTTGTAATGTGATTAATGAGTGAGGTCAATAATAATGTCATAACTAGTGTTGGTACACTAGTTAGTACACAAGTTAGTACACTAATTGGTGTATGTAGCACTGCTGATATCATCAATTATTGACCCCACTTATTAATCACATTACAAATCCTAAAAACCTATTAAATTATGTCACATTATCAATTGGTACACAAATTAATACACTAATTGATATATATAGCATTATTCATCGGATATACATGTGGGTAAAAGAAATTAATGTGGGGTCAAGTCACAAAACATAAATAGCATTATTATTACATTGCCAAGTGCTACTATTTTATATTTGATTATTTATTTATTTATTTATTTTATTTTTTTTGAGAATGTGAGGTAAATTTTTATTTTTAACAATTTAAATGATTTTTATTGGGTATATTACTTACCAAAAAACACAAATATGAAAGATAGGTTTGAATGTATGAATGACCTGTAAACCCCATTACTCCATCACCATCAATATTATAATTGACCCTCAATTAGAAATAATCATTAAATTGCTATACATTGTCCATTCAAAAAAGAAAAATTACAGTTAGACCCAAATGACCATATTTAGTTGGGTACGAGTCCCTCTATCTTCAATTTCTTTCCCTGTCCGCATCAAAAAAGTCACAATTGTTGGATAATGCTTCGAGATGCAGGTTCTTTGACATTCTGACATGATTTATGACATCAGTATTTTGAGACAAAAGCATGTTATAACCATTTTTTAATCTTTGACAAGCATTGATTCACTCACTATCTAGATAAAAATAAAATAGTAACCAATTAAATTAGTCTAACTACTTACCAAAAAACTAGGTATAAAGAGAAAATTAATTTTTAATGCAAGAATGAATCTACAGATAACACTAAATCATCAATTTATTACCGTTCAAGTTTGAATAGAAAATTGGATTGTTCACTTAAAAGAGGAAAAAAAAATGGAGTTAAATTTCAAATCACCATATTTAGTATCTTTGTAGCACAGTACCAGGAATATCTCTAGTATGAGATTTTAGAATCCCCTTAATATCACATGGAAATGTGATTGATATATTCATTCTTTAAAAACCAAAACAATGGTAAATTAACTGATGGAATTGCAATACAAAATTATCGACTAGATAAGCTCAGTTGGCCACCATCTATATTTTCTACAAGGCCATGGAATCCATCGTTGTTAAATGCAAAGATTGATAGTTTATCTTGTATTATGGGATTTTGTTGTGTTATTTATTTATTTCTCATTAGGAGGCTCTTTCTTAAGTTGATTATTGGCTTGGTGGTTGCTCCCCCATTATAGGATCTCTTTGCTAGGCTAGTATAATTGTCTTATTATAATTCTTTATATCGTAAATACTTTAATTGACAGAGACGGAATTAAGAAAAGACTATAAGGGGCCATGACCCTCCTGTTTCTGTGAAAAATATTATTTGTCATGGCATTTTAAAATATATATCTCATTTTATACATAAAATAGCCCTCCAGTATAAAAAATACATATTTCATTCTTATCCCATCTTGCATTCTCTTTTTATTTTGCACCAAAAAACTTTTCATCCTATTAGAAATTGCTGTGGTATATGATTTTTTTTATGTGTATAGATATAATATATATATCATATTATACATACATATGTGCTTATGTATATGATGAAAATTTTTATTTGTCTTTTAGCCCCTCCGATGATGAAATCTTAGTTTCGTCACTACCTACTGATTGATAAAAAAATAAATACAAATACAAAAAAATATCGAATTCCAAAGTAGAACAATCTAATTTAAAATTTTCACTAAATTGAGCATGTCTAGCATATTTTTTCACAATCCATGGACCCTAGCATGGAATGACATAAATTATTCGAGAACATGTGTTTGTGTATTATAAATTTATAATTATATAAAGTAAAATCTTTATTTTCCAATGTCCACAGTTAGAACTGCGAACCAGACCCACTAAATGGAGTAGTTATTCCGGTTCAAGAACGATAGATTTATTCCGAGATGTTGACTTACTACGGTCAAAAGAGATGAAGTTACTTCGGCTGAGGAATCGTAAAGCTGCTTCGGTTTGGACAACTTGAGTTAGTACGGTCCCAAGAAAGGTAGTCCGGTCATGATGAATTCAGGGTAGGTCGGTCAGAATGTAGCTGCTCAGTAGATCGGTCCAAGCATACCACTGTTCGTGTATGAGAGAACCGAGATATGGTGTAGCATGAAGAAAAACCAAACTACTGTTAGTACGGCCCACTTTGTGGCTCGGCATAGCTAATGTTACTTCGGTCAAATAGTAATTCGGCCATGGAGAAAACCATCCCACTTGGTTTAAGCAGTGGGGGAGGGTGTAAAAGGATAAGCATTATCCTTAGGAGAATGAATCCTAGGAGGACTCTGCATGGAGAAGTACAAGTCCTACTAGGATTGTGCCACGGAAAACTTATAAAAGCCCACAAGCATCACCTTGGAGGAGGTAATTGAACACAATTCTTTTTGAGAGCATAAAACTTTGTCTATTTGTCAAGCTTACTGACTTAGGCATCGGAGAGGTTTCCGGCACACACCCGCCGGCTAGCTCACGTTTGTGTTTTCATGTGATAAAGCGACGTCGTACGGAGGAGCGTGGACTTAGTCAACAGGATTATACGAGGAGAATTATTTCTTCCCCGTACACTAGCATATTTTTTCACAATCCATGGACCCTAGCATGGAATGACATAAATTATTCGAGAACATGTGTTCGTGTATTATAAATTTATAATTATATAAAGTAAAATCTTTATTTTCCAATGTCCACAGTTAGAACTGCGAACCAGACCCACTAAATGGAGTAAATTTATAATTATATAAAGTAAAATCTTTATTTTCCAATGTCCACAGTTAGAACTGCGAACCAGACCCACTAAATGGAGTAGTTATTTCTCGTTTTGAGAACGTTACGTGTTTACTTAATAATTGACATCATATTATTTATAAAACAATTATAAAAAATAGAACAAAATCATCATATGATGGCATGCTATTGGGCAAACACATAGCTACATTGAACGTAATAATTTTTGTAATATAAATAGCTCTCGAAAGAATTTCGGCAAAGTTACCACTAAACTATCATGACAAATTGTAGCTTTAAAATTTTAATTACCATAAGGTAAGCATGACCCATTTGAATTCAACAAAAGTCAAAGCCAGAAATCCATGTTCACACATTGCTAATCATGATTATGTTATTTAAATAAATGTACCCTATAAAAATCTTAAAATTGCAATTAATTTCTCCAGCTAGGCTCGTATTGGCAATAATAAAACAAAATCCTCCATAATTATTATTATTATTTTTAATATCTCATTATCCCTATATATACCAAGACTATTGGGGCAAGAAAATCACAACATTTAAACCATTTCCTTCTATCTTTCTTTCCCTGTCACCATTCCCAACCATGACAAGAAAGAAAGTGAGCCTTGCCTATATTGAAAATGAATCCGCAAGGAAATCAACTTTCAAGAAAAGGAAGAAGGGCATAATGAAGAAGGTGAATGAGCTAAGCACCTTGTGTGGGGTTGATGCGTGTGCCATCATTTTCAGTCCTTACGATGCTGAACCAGAAGTTTGGCCTTCTCATTTGGGGGCCCAACGCATCATCTCGAGGTTCAGGAGGATGCCTGAGTTAGAGCAAAGCAGAAGAATGGAGAATCAAGAAAGTTACACTAGGCAAAGGCTCACCAAGGCAGAGGAACAACTGAGGAAGCAACACAAGGACAATCGACACAAGGAGATGACTCATCTCATGTTCCAATGCTTGATTGGCGAAGGGTTGCAGTATTTGAACATGGTCGATTTGCATGACTTGGGTGTCTTGTTGAACCAAACCATGAGGGATGTTGATGGTAGACTTGAGTTGCTTACCGAAGCAGTTCTTCCTCAAGAAATGGCGATGTTGAATGCAATGGCAAGAGGAGAGAATAGCTTCAATGCTCAGATGCCTTCAGGGATGGCCATGCCTACCATGCAGAATCAACAACCGATTAGGAGTTTGCTAAGGTCAAATGTGCACCCAGGGTTGGATGGGAATGTGGCATACACTTTCCCTTTACAATGGTCTAGGGGCTAGTTTCATTTATCCTTGAAAACTAGCATGTTATGGTCATTTGTGTTTCAGATTTAGCACTTCATTGTGTCAGCTTTTTTTTTCTCTTCGTCTTTCTAGTTTGTTGTTTTTGTCATTGCACAATGTTACTTATGATCCGCAGAATAATTATGTTATGTTTTTTACTACCTTATTTAGCAACTTCAAATGAATCACAATTTCTTATTGCTTTGACCATTCATTTATTTTTTGGGAAATTATAAAATTAATTACTTTACATGACCCTAATCAGATTATTGTAAAAGAATATTTGGCAAAGAATTGATGTTTACAATAATAGTAGTAGCGAGAATGCTAATAAACCATATTGTTAGATTGTGTCCCATACGACAATTTTGTAAGGCACGTCATACTTTATAACCATTTTGTTGGCAGGTCTTATCTTGCAAATTTTGAATTTGATAGTTATACGATCGTTGTACTTATCTTGTAATTTTTTGTAACTAGAGATTATTATTTTTGTATTGCAGCTCAAATCATAGTCTACTCATTTTGATTAATGCATAACCATTTTGACTTTATGTTGTAATATTTGTTGGATTTCCTAAACAACTCATTAATTGCATTATGACTAATTTATTGCACTACTACAAAAATAGTTAAAGATCACACGTTGGTAAAAAAAAAAAAAATCTCACTTTTATTGAAAGTGTTATAAAAAAATTAGATTGATATTTTAATCACACTTAATTTGATGGAGTGTGATAATATTCATTTTTTATGTCACTTTTCAATTAAGTGTGATTATTTATATATTTTTTAATCACACATTCTAATTAAAGTGTGATTATATATACACTACTACTTTTTAATCACACTTTTTAAAATAAGTGTGATTATATATATATTTTTTAATCACACGCTCTAATTAAAGTGTGTTTATTTATATATTTTTTAATCACACCTTCTAATTAAAGTGTGATTATATATACATTACTACTTTTTAATCACACTCCACTATAAGAAAAAATATTTTTGGCGACTAAAAAAGCACATTTGGTCGCTGAAAGTATAGGTTTTGGTGACTAAAAAAGTATTAGTAGCCAAAAGTAAAGATTTTTGGCGATTAAAAAAATTTAATAGCTAAAAGTATAGGTTTTGGCGACTAAAAATCTGTTTGGTTGCCCATATATGACTTTTATCGACTAAAAAAATTTTAGTAGTCAAAAGTAAGCCTTTTTGGCGACTGAAAAAAATTAAGTAGCCAAAAGTGAGACACTAGGCAACTAAAAAGATGTTTGGTCGCCAAAAGTGAGGTTTTTTGGTGACTAAAAGCCAAAACTGAGGCATTGGGCGACTAAAAAGATGTTTAGTAGCCAAAAGTGAGGCTTTTTGACGACTAAAAAGAAATTTAGTCACCAAAAGTGATAATTTTAGCCCGGGAATTAAATTTTTTAACGACTAAAAAATAATTAGTAGCCAAAAGTATAGAATTGGCGATTAAAATTATATTTAATCGCCAAAAGTAGTCTCTCTTTTTTTCTAGTAAATAATTTATTTTTACATAAATTATGTTCAATAAAAAATAATTATCTATGTACTATATAAATAATATATGTTGCATATATAATCATATGGTGTTATAGAAGCGTAGGAGAAATAGTGTGTTGTATAAAGTTTATGGTGTGGGAGGTTAATGGTTTAAATCTCCCCAAGTCTCTACAAGAGCAAATGAGAAGGTAGTGAGATCGCACTTAAAATGTGTGATTTAAATATTTTAATCACCTAAATATTTTTAATCACACTTAAAAGGTCTGATCTAAATATTATTAATCACAAAATATTTTTAATTACATTTAAAATGTGTGATCTAAGTGCTATTAATCATACTTAAAAGGTATGATTAAAAATGACACTTTTTAATCACATTATCAAAGATCACACTTTAATAAAACTTAAAAGGTGTGATTAAATAACATACATCACATAAAAAAGTATGATCTTTATCTGTTTTTATAGTAGTGTTGTTATGAGATTATTTTGAAATCAATGATGATATACAAATAGCAAAAGGACAGCGTTAATGCGATACGCAAAAAGATTAGTTCGGTACATTTTATTATCACGTCTCAATTCTCAAACTCTCTTTCGCTCTCTCATATGAAAACTCAACCTTGAACCCACCCTTGCCACTTGAACCCTAATTGTAAATCTAAGTTTTACGGCACCAAATTTTTTTTTTTTTTTTTTTTTGATCAGCAAAGAAAAATTTCATTAATTAACATGAAATTAAAGGTACAGGAAGATGAAATGCAATGAGAGATATTCGGAAAGTATAAAATACCCCTACTACTGCTACTCGCAACCATACAACCAACCCCTCGGCCTCACGATTTTTTTAAACAAAAATGTTAAGAAGGACTTAACAGAAAATAAAATACATGATTCCCCACAAAATCAACCCACCAAAACACCCAAACTGCTAAAATTAATTTCTAACACCCAAGCTGGTATCCCAATTATTTTATACACCTACTACACTTCCAAAGCCCACGCCTATTCTGCTGCACACACGCCTATTCTGTTGCACACACCTACGCTTAGGATGCTGCACTCCCAAGGCCAACCACCTGCCTGGACACAACGTATTTACCACGCCAAGACCCACACCTAAGCTGCTGCACTCCCAAGGGTACACAATGCCTAGGCTGCTGCACTCTCGAGGCCACTCCACCGGAAAACACCATAGCCACCAACTCCATGGGCCAACACCAGAATCAACCACCAACCAAACCACCCACCTGAACACACCTATGCTGCTAAACCGACCGAGTAAACTCCATAGCCAACACCGGAAAAACTCCAACGCCTATGCTGCTGCAACACCCCTGCTAAACTTGACATTGCAGCTCCAACACTTGTTGTCGAAGACAGATCATCACCCACTGCCACCACTATCTCTTCCGCTGCAACTCCATAGCCAACACCGCTAACTCACACCCACTGTAGCGCCACACACCGACCAAAACACCGACCAACCGTTGGGACACCTCCATACATTAAGAAGAAGTTCACCCCTCAAACTCTCACCCGAAAAGGAGCGCTCGAATGAAAACCAGACAGGTCTGGATCGACTTCGACACCCATGTTTTCGTCCTAACAAAGCATCGAAACTTCTTCACCAACCTGAACCAGAGTTCACCCCTCAAGCTCTTACTCGCAAAAGAGCACACGAATGAAGATCCTGGACGTCCCCTGATGAATCAGCTAAAGTGGCCCCCGAGTCACCAAAACAAACCAACCGCAGCAACACAAACACACCTAGGCTCGAAAGGGAGCCCCCCTAATCCCCCGAACCAAAAACGACGTCGTTTCGTCGTTTTTGAAATTTTTTTTTTTTTTCAGAAGAAGAACGAAGCTCGGAGAAGAAGAAGGAAGAAAGGAGGGAGAGAGGGAGGGAGGAGGAGGAGGGACTGGAGGGGGCATAATATTCGGGGGAGGAGGAGGCGGAGGTGGGGCGACGGCGGGGAGAAGGAGCTGCTGCTGCTGCTGCGACGAGAGGCAGAGGCGGGGCGACGGCGGGGAGGAGGAGCTGGCGGCGAGGCGACGACGGCGGGCGACGAGGCTCGCAGCCCTCTTCTTCCTCTCTCTCTCGCTCGCCTCTGTGATTTCGGGGGATTCGGGGGGAAAAAATTAGGGGGACAAATCATTATGAAGAATACGTACAAGTGGTTTTGAGGTATCATAAAAAAAAAAAAATTATTTTAAGATTTAATATGTATTGTCCTCATTAGTAAATTTATAATAGGGTATAATAGGAATTAAAATTTTAATTTTAATTTTAATTGGGCATACTGAGTTATTATTTGAGTTCATTTTAATCACACTTTTTAAATAAGTATAATTATATATATATATATATTTAATTACACTCCACTACAAAAAAAAAACATCTTTGGCGATTAAAAATGCACCTTTGGTCGCTGAAAGTATAGGTTTTGGTGACTAAAAAAGTATTAGTAGCCAAAAGTAAAGATTTTTTGCGACTAAAAAAGTATTAGTAGCCAAAAGTAAAGATTTTTGGGGACAAAAACAATGTAGTAGCCAAAAGTATAGGTTTTGGCGACTAAAAATCTGTTTGGTTGCCCATATATAGCTTTTATCGACTAAAAAAACTTTTAGTAGCCAAAAGTAAGGCTTTTTGGCTATTGAAAAAAATTTAGTAGCCAAAAGTGAGACACTGAGGGACTAAAAAGATGTTTGGTCGCCAAAAGTGAGGCTTTTACCTACTAAAAAAATTTTAATAGCCAAAAGTGAGGCTTTTTGGCGACTAAAAGTCAAAATTGAGGTATTGGGCGACTAAAAAGATGTTTAGTAGCTAAAAGTGAGGCTTTTTGGCGACTAAAAAGAAGTTCAGTCACCAAAAGTCATAATTTTAGCCCGGGAATTAAATTTTTGAACGACTAAAAAATAATTAGTAGCCAAAAGTATAGAATTGGTGACTAAAATTATATTTAGTCGCCAAAAGTAGTCTTTTTTTTTTCTAGTAAATAATTTATTTTTACATAAATTATGTTCAATAAAAAATAATTATCTTTATATATATACTTTTATATTAACTAGCATATCACCCGTACTATGCACGGATTGTGTTTATAATTATCTATATATGTGAATTGTGATTTTTAAATATTTTCTTTTTTTTTTTTAATTTTAAATGTCTTCTTTTTTTCCTTTTTTATATTATATTAAAATTTAATATTTTGATAATAATCACATGTGTTCGACTTTTCAAGGAATTAAATGTATTTTCTTTTTCATTATATTATATTAAAGTTTAATATTTTAATAATAATCATATGTGTTGAACTTTTTAAGAAATTTTTTATACTTGTTTTTAATGCATTAAAGTGTTATTATGAGGAATACTAATCATATGTGTTGGGACTTTTCAAGGAATTCATATGTGTTGAATTTCAAAAAAAAAATTATGCTTGTTCTTAATGCATTAAAGTATTATTATGAGGGTAAGACTTGAAAGTTGGGAGAAGTTAATAAATGCTTTTTTTAAAAAAAAAAATCAAAAAATCAAGAAATTTAGATTTGGAGATTGGAGCTCCCACAATACTTGGGGTTAAAATCCCCTTTCGCTTAATATATAGTATAGATAGATATAGATACAGGTCTATGTACTATATAAATAATATATGTTGCATATATAATCATACATAATTATATTGTGTTATGGAGGTGTAGTGGAAATATGGTGTTGTATAAGGTTTATAGTGTTGGGGGTTGATGGTTCAAATCTCTACAAGAGTAAATGAAAAGCTAGTGAGATCACACTTAAAATGTGTGATCTAAATATTTTAATCACCTAAATATTTTTAATCACACTTAAAAAGTATGATCTAAATATTATTAATTACACTTAAAAAGTACGCTTTCAAAGATCACACTTTAATAAAACTTAAAAGGTGTGATTAAATGACATACATCACATAAAAAAAGTGTAATCTTTACCTATTTTTGTAATAGCGTTGTTATGAGATTATTTTGAAATCAATGATGATATACAAATAGCAAAAGGACAGCGTTAATGCGATACACAAAAAGATTAGTTCGGTACATTTTATTATCGAAAAAGGGGTCACTGCTGCTCAAAGCACAGCAGTGACTGTGGTGCTTCTGTTTGAGGTGTATTATAGCTTTATTTTTATGATCCAAATCGTTTATTTTGTAGGGTTTGTTGAGTAATTCATACCTATCAAAAATCATATTAATCGGATATCAACAACTATACGATCGATAACCAAAAAAATAAATAATAAGTTTTTCTTTTGAAAAATAGCATAAACAATATGCGATTCGATCTTATAGTTATTGATATCAGATTAATATGATTTTTGGTAGACATGAAGTACTCATCAAATCCTACAATATGAACGGTTTAGATCATAAAAATAAGACCATAATACACTTCAAACGGAGACACCACAGTCACTGTTGTGCTTTGAGCACAGCAGGGACCCCTGTTCCTTTATTATCACGTCTCAATTCTCAAACTCTCTTTTGGTCTCTCACATGAAAACTCAACCTTGAACCCACCCTTGCCACTTGAACCCTAATTGTAAATCTAAGTTTTACGGCACCCAAATACTTGATTGACATGAAAACCAAATTAGCAAAATGTGAGCCCACTCTCAAGCTCCTGCCTCTTTGCTTGTGGAACCATCTTCTCCAATACGGCTACATTATTTTTGGATTTTTCTCCAGCAAGACAAAGAAATGTATTTTTTAGCTCCTCTTTACTTTCGCTTTTTGTTCCCCACATTTTTTTTCTTCTTTCAAATACCCTTTATTGAGCCATTGACCAAAAAGTTGTCTCTCTTGTGCTCAAGCGAACTTTGAGGATTTTCAGTACTTTTGTAGGTCTACAAAACTACTGAGCGTATGGCATTCTCTGCTCGAGCGGTGTTTCTTGTGCTTGAGCGGTCTTGGCTCGAGTGGTTATTCTTGCGCTCGAGCGGTCTTTTGGAACTCTCAATACTTTTGCAGGCTTGGAAAAGTACTAAGAGAGTGGTGTTCTTCACTCGAGCAATACTTTATTCGCTCGAGCAGTCCCTCTTTTTTGTGTCTAGTCGCTCGAGCGGTGTTTTGGTTGCTCACGTGGTTTATGCGTATATTAGTTCTTAAAAATCATTTTTTGAGTAACTTTTTCATATATCTCTCTCTTTCTAAAACATTTCCAAACCCTAAATCTAGACTCTCTTCTCTAGAACTCATCTTCTACCTCAAATACACCTTAATATAGTGGTTTCTTAACCCTTGTCCCTTTGTTTAAAAGGTAGAACTCATCTAGAGCTTTGTTCTAATCGAAGAAATTCGTGTTTTGGCTCCATCGAGTTCTACCTATCTTTTCTTTGAATCTTCTTCTTTGAGGTAGGGACTACTTAGACATTTTTGTATGGTTTTTAACTTAGTTATTTGCTTTTCTAAACAAGATTGTGATTTGAGAATTGGATAAAACCTAGAGTTTTGGCTTTGGAATCAAAAGAGGGGTTTTCAAAATGGTTTTCTAGAAAATGATTGTGGGATTGCGGATATGGTTGAGTTATGATAAAATGGTGGATTTCCATCATTAAAATTGATTTTTCAAAGAAAATGAATTTTGGCTTAAAATGTAAATGCTGGATTTTGAAAAGAGAAAATAGAATTGATATTAGTTTCATGGAATTAGAATGATGATGGTGATAATGGTGGAGTTGGATATAAATTATCACTCATATTTGGAAATGTTAGAAAGTATATTTGGAAATATTGAAAATTATTTATCTGTTTAGAGATATATGTTTTGGGCTATCGGTGAAGAATAACTGTAATTGTTATAGAAATATCTTTCCATATCCTTTGATTTTCACTTATGCAATCAGGGTGACCATGATTAGTCATTGAAAATGCACTATTAATTTTATTTAAAAGCTTTCGATGACTAAATATTTTAGTCGTTAATTACCTTTCCCAACAATCATTCAACGACTATTTTGGTCACTAAAAATTTTGGTTGATAAAATTTTCGGTGACTAAAAAAGGACTTTTGGCAACTAAAAATTTAGTCGTCAAAAATGCCATTTGTTGCAGTGGTTATTATAGTTATTTCGGGGTGTTACAAACAGTGGAAAAATCTTGATAATAGTTTCAAAAGTCAGGGAGGTTAATGTAATTATTAAAACTACAGAGAAGGTTTTTGTAATTGTCAAAAATCTTAGGGGAGATAAGCATAATTTATCCTTCAAAATTTGATACATGTAGCGTTCCACATAATCATGGGAAGATGCAATTGGTTAACCCAATAGTTTTTTTTTTTATAGCGTAAATTACATTAATTTACAGTAAGCACTCATTTGGAAAGAAGGATTGTGTTGGGTTTGGGGCTATTTTTGTCACAAAAAGACAAAATAGACTTTTTAACCCAATAAAACAAAACATCACTTCCAACTTATAATCATTACATTCTTTTTCTCACAAAAAGTCAAAAAAATCAAAAAGCATATCCTAAACAAGACTTTTTAGTTCCAGATTAAAATAACCAAAAAGTCAAAAAACCGACCAATTTTCCAAAAGAACTCTAAAAAATTAATGTGGATTCATTCTAATATGCTCTCAACTAAAATGAATCTCACCACATTAATTTTTAGTGTAAATTATACTAATTTCTGCTGAAATTTTTAAAAATACAATAAGTCTCATAATTTTGATATAATTATATTGAATTTAGTGTATTTTTTTTTTCAAATTTTAAGGGAGATCAATGTAACATATCCCTAATTTTTATGTGTATTGTTGTTTTGCACCTTTTATGAATGTGGAATTATTATTATTATTGTTTTCCTTGGTGGGTTTGATTATTCTAGTTGCTAGTGAGCTAACCCTCATCAAATCCCACCAACCAGTTGCCTTAAAATACATAAAAGCAAGACTTCATGGGTTACTCTTTCTTGTGGGCTAGATAAAATTGATGAACTCTCTGTGGCTAATTAGGGCATTTTCTCAATTTTTCATTTGCTCCCAAAAGACCCTCATTTCAAAAATATTTTTGTAGCTGATTTGATCGATTGCAATGGCAAAAGAAGAGAAGAAAGAGAAAGTGGAGGAGATTACAGCTATTTACAAGGTTCATTTACACTGCCCTAAATGTGCTGATGATATTAGAAAGCCTCTTCTCAGAACCCCAGGTACTTCCTTTATATATGATTGACTTTAGTGCATGTGTTAATTTAGTTATAGATATGCTATATTGTTTCTCGTCTTATTTATTTATTTATTTTTATTGATTTTTTCTGTATGTACTCCTTATATCATATTTTATATCAATAAATTTATCTTTTGCTGATTTAAAAAAGAAAAAAAAAACTTCATTTATGCATTGGCCTTTTCTTTCCTAGTGTTCTTGTTCCTTTATTTCATAATCTCTCCTTTTATTTTATTTTTTTTCTTGAATTATATGTTTTTGTTTTTGATAAAATGAAATAGTGAAGGCCCCTATTTGCTATTGTTTTAAATTTTTTCTGCTATTTTCGTTTTTTTTGTTTATGTTTCCAGAAAAAAAATAATTATAATAAAAAGTTAATAGAGACATATATCACTTTCATTTTTTTTTCTTTTGGTGCAAACAAAGTGTTCAAAAACTATTAAATACAATTTAAAAGAGTTTTTTAAAAGGGGTGTTGTCAAAAGACCTTTTGTTAAACAAGTTTTCTATACTAATTTTGATCTTTTTCATTTTCATTAACAAAAACAATACCAAAACGCTTTATCATACAAGTTTTCTATACTAATTTTGATCTTTTTCATTTTCATTAACAAAAACAATACCAAAACGCTTTATCATAAATAAACAAGTTTAGGTCCTTACTATGTCCCTCTCCTAATACTCGAAGAAGAAATGAGAAAAACATATTTTTGGATAAATTTAGTTGACAAGAAATGAACGAAGAAAAATTATCAAAATCTAAAATTATATAATTACTTATGGTTGGAATTTTTTATTTCTATTTTTAAGGTCAAATATGTGTCTCATTGTTCTCAATTTTTTTTGGGATACCATGAGATTATCACTATCTTATTATCGTTGTAATTTACCAGGGGTTCAGAGTGTGGATGTCAAATTTGAGAAAGGTGAAATTACAGTGAAAGGTGTGATCGATGAGAAGAAAATTCATAAACAAATTGAGAGGTTGAGTAAGAGAAAGGTTGAGATTTTACCACCTCCAGCCAAAGGCAAGGAAATTGTTGAAAAGACAAAGGAAACCAAAAAAGTAAGTTTCCAACAAAGCTCTTATTCTATTGAATCATTAATTACCAATTCATCCAAATCCTTAAACTGAGAGAGAGAGAGAGAGAGAGATGTTTTCCTATTACTTAGCATGTTAGATTTTCAATATTTTTAATCCTGCAACCCATACTGCATAAAAGCCCAATTTCTAATTCAATCCATCCTTCGAGTGAACCAACATTATTTAAACTTTCATAGTTCATGAAATCTTATTGCTGAAACTATAAATGCATGAAGATAGTGTTATGTTTATTCAGAGGAAAGCAACACAAACCACATTCAAATAATATACAAACACAATGTAATCATTTTATGTGAAACTGCGCAATTGCATCGTTAATTTAAACAATGTTGATTATGTTTCACTTATTCAATACTCTACTTGGGATTTCAAAATATATATTCAGTAGCATAGATTTTATTACTAGAGGAAATAAAAATCATGTAAAGAATTATTTTACAGAAACTATATTTATAGTAAAAAAATTTACTAACCAAATTTATTTTGTATTCCAAGTTCTATAATTGTTTTAGTTTGTTTCCGTCTTACATTTACCAGAGTCGATTGCAATATTATTGTAGTTTATTTCTCCATATGTTTCCTATTCTAGAGTAAAATTTTGTAACACATTCATACATTTATATGCATTAGTAACAAGTGACTTTACTTACTCAATTCAAGCCCACGGTTACCACAACAACAATAAAAGTTTTTATGCACTGCAACAAATGTGAGCAAGACCTACGGAACAAGCTACTAAAGCACAAAGGTAGTACTACAAGAACTCCAAACATTTGTTCATAAAAAAAAAAAAAAAGAACTTCAAACATTTATTTATTATTTTTTCTTTTTGGATATGTTGTCATTTCCATATGCAGGTATTCACAATGTTAAAACCGACATGAAAGCGCAAACAATAACAATTGATGGAATTATAGAATCTGAAAAGCTCGTGACATACATGAAAAAGAGGGTGCACAAACATGCAGAGATTATACCTCCAAAAAAGGAGGAAAAAAAAGAGAAAGAAAAAGAAAAAGAAAAGGAGAAAAAGGAGGAAAAGAAAGAGAAGGTTACGGTGGAAGTGAAAACTACAGAAACGACAAAGATTGTAGAATTCACAGAAGAGAAGAAAGTGGAAGCGAAAACAGCAGAGGGAAAAGTTCCGTACTTTGTTCACTATGTTTATGCTCCTCAAATGTTTAGTGATGAAAATCCAAATGCTTGCTCAATAATGTAGTTGATCAACATGTTTGCGTATGGTAGTTTTGCAATTGCATGGAACATCGAATAATTTTCAGTTTAATTTTAATGTTATGTATATGACTACCGAACCACATTTTTTAGGTGGCATTCATTAAATTGAGTTGCAATCAATGTTTGTATTCTTCCTTTTCTTAATTATTTAAGTGTACCTCATTTTTTAATTTAGTCCCTACATGTCGAATTGGGCACTTGAGCTATAGAAGTGAATTTGCTTACATAATAAATGAAGCGGGTCAAATTAAGCATGTAAGGATGGACTAGGTCTAGTAGAATCTATCACCAAGCCTTAATTTTGGTTTTATAATAGGTGTACCAACATTGCTAACGTGTTTTTAGTCACATAAGCATATTGACTTTGGAGAAGCAGACAAAAATAAGTAAACAAAACCATGTCATTTTCATTTGTATCTATCAAAGAATATATATGAATGTTACAAGGTTTTTAAACAAGAAAACTGATCCGATATCTTGCCTCCTAATGATTTACATACATTTCACAAAAATCAACAAAATCAGTTTGCCAATTCCCAATTGCATAGTAATATAAAGACAGTGGCTTTGGTCCAGTCCAAGATCGGACTGGACCGTGCTGTTGGGTCCGTGAGGGCCCACCACGGGTCCCGTTTTGATAATTCGAATCGTTCAATGTGTAGAACTCGTTGAATACTATATGCTTGTAAAAAATCACGTTAATCGAATATCGATACCTATGTGAACAAAATAGTTTTTTATCAACCGTTAATTTTTTCACCGTCCATTTTTTTTTTATACAAAACTGATTTGATCACATAGCTATTGATATCCGATCAACGTGATTTTTTACAGGCATATAGTACTCGACGAGTTCTATACATAAAAGGCTTACATGTTTTGTTTCAAATGCCGAAAGTTATAAAATAATCCCAATTTGTATGATCTCATAGTATTGGATTTATTCATTCATCTTATTTAAAAAACAAACACTACATGTTGAATTGTTGATGGGATCAATATGTTCGCGAATAAGTCTCATCATTTTCCTTTGTGTAAATCCTAGTGTCAAAAGGCTTTCTGATCAGAGAAAAAAAAAATTATTGATGAAAAGAATGCTCACATGATTCAATAAAATATTACTTGTTTCCGATAAATAAAAAGAAAGTATTGTAGACCCTTCTAATTTGTTAAGGTTATGTTTGATTCAAAAGACTAATAGTGAAGTATTAATAATCCTATTAAATTAGTGTAGGATTCACTATCCAATTGGATTAATATCCATTGGATTAATAATCCCACTCCTACCCCATTACTAATAATCCTAATGAAAGCGCAAACAATAACAATTGATGGAATTATAGAATCTGAAAAGCTCGTGACATACATGAAAAAGAGGGTGCACAAACATGCAGAGATTATACCTCCAAAAAAGGAGGAAAAAAAAGAGAAAGAAAAAGAAAAAGAAAAGGAGAAAAAGGAGGAAAAGAAAGAGAAGGTTACGGTGGAAGTGAAAACTACAGAAACGACAAAGATTGTAGAATTCACAGAAGAGAAGAAAGTGGAAGCGAAAACAGCAGAGGGAAAAGTTCCGTACTTTGTTCACTATGTTTATGCTCCTCAAATGTTTAGTGATGAAAATCCAAATGCTTGCTCAATAATGTAGTTGATCAACATGTTTGTGTATGGTAGTTTTGCAATTGCATGGAACATCGAATAATTTCCAGTTTAATTTTAATGTTATGTATATGACTACCGAACCACAATTTTAAGGTGGCATCCATTAAATTGAGTTGCAATCAATGTTTGTATTCTTTCTTTTCTTAATTATTTAAGTGTACCTCATTTTTTAATTTAGTCCCTACATGTCGAATTGGGCACTTGAGCTATAGAAGTGAATTTGCTTACATAATAAATGAAGCGGGTCAAATTAAGCATGTAAGGATGGACTAGGTCTAGTAGAATCTATCACCAAGCCTTAATTTTGGTTTTATAATAGGTGTACCAACATTGCTAGCGTGTTTTTAGTCACATAAGCATATTGACTTTGGAGAAGCAGACAAAAATAAGTAAACAAAACCATGTCATTTTCATTTGTATCTATCAAAGAACATATATGAATGTTATAAGGTTTTTAAACAAGAAAACTGATCCGATATCTGGCCTCCTAATGATTTACATACATTTCACAAAAATCAACAAAATCAGTTTGCGAATTCCCAATTGCATAGTAATACAAAGGCCAGTGGCTTTGGTCCAGTCCAAGATCGGACTGGACCGTGCTGTTAGACCCGTGAGGGCCCACCACGAGTCTCGTTTTGATAATCTGAACCGTTCAATGTGTAGAACTCGTCGAGTACAATATACTTGTAAAAAATCACATTGATCGGATATCGATATCTATGTGAACAAAACAGTTTTTTATCAACCGTTAATTTTTTCACCGTCTATATTTTTTTTTATACAAAACTGATTTGATCACATAGCTATTGATATCCGATCAACGTGATTTTTTACAAGCATATAATACTCGACGAGTTCTACACATAAAAGGCTTACATGTTTTGTTTCAAATGTCGAAAGTTATAGAATAATCCCAATTTGTATGATATCATAGTATTGGATTTATTCATTCATCTTATTTGAAAAACAAACACTACATGTTGAATTGATGATGGGATCAATATGTTCACGAATAAGTCTCATCATTTTCCTTTGTGTAAATCCTAGTGTCAAAATGCTTTGTGATCAGAGAAAAAAAAAAATTATTGATGAAAAGAATGCTCACATGATTCAATAAAATATTACTTGTTTCCGATAAATAAAAAGAAAGTATTGTAGACCCTTCTAATTTGTTAAGTGAATTCCAATTATGATGTGTTTTACAAAGGGCTAACTATCTAGTACCTACTATAATACTTATCAACAGACATTGATGGAATGCAACACACAAAATTAGATTATTTAGAAACATGATCATGCATGCACATTATTTGTCTGGCTGCAAAAACAATTTTAATTATCTCATAGATTTGAGTGAATCATGTGTAGCAGTGTTGGAATTATTGCACATCCCATGAATGTGAACAAAAACACATCCATGCACATCAAAGAGGAAAACATACAGACAATTTATATGGTTTGACACAAATCTACTTACGTCCACGTGTAAAAAAGAAATCCCTATTTATAACCAAACTCAAAAAATCCTAGTCTAATAATTACTAAAATCATAGTGAATTTCGGACTCCACGCCTCAATTCAAATATATGGGAGAAATAAAATTTGTACAAGACACACACACCAACAAGAAGAATGGAAGAAAGTATGATGAATTATTTGTCAAAACTATCACCAAACTTTGTGCTAATTAGTAGGGAAATGTACATATTGATTGCTATGTTTTCTGACTTATTCACATTTGCTCTAAACTTGCAATTTTATTTATTTATTTATTATTTTGTTTTTTCAGATTTAGGTAAGAAGGCCAAGTTTAAGTAATCTACATTTTCATTTAATCCTTATCTGAATTGCAGTTTTTCAAATGTCATTCTTCGAGTATATAACTAATTGAGTTTGCCAGTTGTACACTCATTTGAATAATCAAAGTTAGCTGATCTACTAAGAGGAATATTTGAATTGTGCAAGAGTCTTTTTTTCTTTTGTATTATTAGATGCAGCAATAATCATTGTGCAAGTTGCATAGATTAAGAACCAAGCATTACTTGTAAATGTAAAGGAACCATACATAATTTTTTTATTTTTTATTTTTTTATTGTCATTAGAAAAGAAATTTTATAAACTTAAAATGCAACATGACATCAAAAAAAAATATATTATGACAAAGCTTCAGTGCTCATTGATGATATTCAAATAAAGAATGAAAAAATAAAGAATGGTTATAAAGAATGAAAAAGCAAATAGGGGCATATGAATGGTTATAAGGATGAAAGTAAAATTTCCACTTCCATTTGGTATCATCTTTACCTGCATAAATATGTATATACTATTCTTAAGAAGAAGAAAAACAAAGGAAGTGGCATATTGAAAATTTGCAAAGTGTTTTTTTTTTTCCATTTTTTTAAACCATGTAACAACTTCTTTGATTGAAAAAATGTGTGCAACTTCCCCACAGTAACCATTTCATGACTGTAGAGCCAAAAAATATATGGATTAATTGGGGATTCGATAAGGTTAAGTAATAGTCGGATTCTGTATTTTCTATTCAATTCAATATAGTATCTGTATCGCTTGCTTTTCCAAGCCAATTTAGACACTCCTTTCCAGCAGCTCCACAGTGGGTAAGAACAAGAATTTTGGGTTTTAGCAACCAAAATTCGTCACAATAACTCCCCAAAAAAAAAAAAATAAATAAATAAATAAATAGAGACACCAGTTTATCTTTCCAATGTAGGGGGGAAAATTGACAAAATTTAGCCAAAAATAAAATAAAATAAAATTGAGAAACACCTCTTTTACTTTGGAATGTTGGGAAATATAAATATTCCACATAACTAACCGGTTACATAAACTTATATAAAAATAGAGTAATGTTGTGATGATTAATTTTGTATATTAAATTTGTTTATCATATAATGTGTTATTACTGCTCCATGTATTGTACCAATGCACGAATAATATATGTGTAAGATAACATGCTAAGCTAAGTAATTTGGTGAAAAAATTGAATCATTCTAACATCACTTACGAAGATACTAGTCAATTGGGTTCTAAAAGCGCATAAAGCCACAAATCCTAAGATTTCTTCTTTCTTTCTTTCTTTTTTTAATTTATTATTTATTAGCAAAATAAAAATTCATTGATGTAAACAAAGGTACAACTTTTTTTTTTTTTGATCAGCAAAGAAGGGAGACTTTATTGATGAAATGAGCCAAAACAAGCAACAAAATACATCAATAAAGGAGGGAAGTGCAAAAAGCATCATAGCAAACACTCCACAATCCCAACTAGGTTGGCACCAAGGAGGAAGCACAATCATCTGCTAGCACTACACCCACAAACTAAACAAAGGTACAACTTACAAGGAGTACAATTCAATTTACATGAATACAAGAAAGAAGAACAGGTCTTGGTTAGTTACTTCATTGGTTAAAAAGACTAGGTCACTTGGCTCAAGACAATCCATCTAATTCTAACCTAAACTTCATAAATAACAAATTCTAGATTAGTGATGGAGACAAATATTGTGTGACATATTTATTATTGCCAGCACATAAGTTATTTCAATCTAAGCAAATTGCGTAGATTAGCGATTTGACCGAGATTAGGCACTTCGTTAAATAATGGTATTAGCACGAATTAGTATGAGCGATACGATTGTATATCAGGCGATTTCAGGCAATATTGATATGTAACTACCAATATTTAAAACCTGAACTTATCCAAGAAAAAATAAAAAGAGGAAGGGTTTTCCATGAGAGATAGGAAAACCGAATATCCAAATGGTTCCTGTTTAGATATTTTTCTTAAAATAGATCTTTAGGGATTCAGTGAGTAGAACTGAGTTTAGTTATCACAAATTTCTCTTCTTTGGATTAGGCGTACGATACTTGGCTTCTACCTAGGCACAGGAAGCGTTTTCGAAACGTTAGAACTCTTTTGTCAAAAAACAAAAGCATTGTAGAAGACAATTCGTACATACTACAACGGAGTCCGAGTTAGCAGATGGGTTGAGGAAAACTTCCAAGATAAATGAATTTAGGTTATCGGACACGATACATAATATGCTATAAACCATTAATTGTAGTTAGCTTAAACATTGATACGCTTTTCTTTACAGAGAAGCCATTGATGATGCATGATATATCATTAGAGTAGAGAAATATTTACTAGATCTTATAATATTTTACATATATATATATATATATATTTAGCCTCTTCACATATATAACTTTATTTATAACTCTTGTTTGTTAACTTATATATGTGTATTCAATAAGTTAATTATGCAAAAGTAGTAATATAGACTTGTTCCCAAATACTAAACCTCAAACCATTTTCTATTAAAATCAAAAGTCATTAGTTCAACAAAGAGAGCAACAAGAAGAGGATTCTCATTTTTTTCACAAATTAAAAAGCTAAGCTCAACAGAAGAATGAAGAAGAACTGATTGTACAAGACAGATGATGATGGTGTAGGGTTTTAAATAACAGTATTGGGATATCTATCAATATCAGTGATACAATCATATATAAACTGATATCAAACAGTTTCAGCCACTATATTAGTGAATAACGGTATCAAAACGAGAAAATTCAGTTTTGTAACGGCTGATAATTAAAACCCTGACGAAGATCAAGAAAGACAATCTGACCTTTTCTGACCTAAAATGGTCAATAAGGTGGCCGGCCACCGGAGTTCACCGCCCACCCCTCAACCGGTAACTGAGAAGAATTGGGCATATTCAAAAAGGGTAACCCCGAAGACGGGTCTGGAAACGGGTTTCCAATCCCACCACCACTGCCGCCGCCGCCACCACCCGCAGAGCTCTCATGCTGAAGCTGACCTATCTCATCTTCATCCAAAGGCAACCTCTCATAAGCAACATTAGTAAACGAAGCAGCAATCACAATAACCGGTCCAGCCGCAATCAAAGCACCGACAACATTCCCTCCCACCACCTGACCCTGTCCCCCGGCCAAATATATACTCAAGCTGGTGGCCCCCGGTGGCGCCGGCGGTGGCAGAAAAGACCCCGAAAGTGACAAAATCTCGAACCGCCCGTGCAACGTCACGATCGCTCCTCCGCCACCCGCCGCCGCCGCAGGCGGCTGCCGGAGCGTGACGTTGGTCACCGTCCCGCTTCCGCTCAGCACGCAAATTCCTCGCTGCCGCTTCCTCGCGTACGCCGCCACCGATTCAAACACATCGCAACCACTACTAATCTCTAAAATATGTGCTCGGAGAGTGTTTGCGCTCTCTCGGGTTATAATCACCGGTGGTTTGGGCTTGTTTTTGGAGCCCGGTGGTCGGCCTCTAGGGCGGCGACCGGTGAGATCGCCGGAATTTGAGGTGTTGGTGGTGCTGATGAGGTCGAGGCCTTGGTGGGTGTTGTCGTCGTTGTCGCCGGAGAATTGGGTTTGGGTTTGGGTTTGGGACTGATTGTTGGTGGTGTTGGGATGGTGGAGGTGGTGGAGGAAGTGAGAAGAAGAAGATAAATCTAAACCAGCCATAGACAAGAACAAGAGCTAAAGATAGAGCAGAAAACAAGGGAAAATATAAAGTATGGTTAATTGATAACTGTGGAGATTAAAAAACTCTATGAGTATTTTATGGGTATTAAAGAAGTGAGGGAGTGCAATAAGAATTCAAACCCTTGAACGAATAGAAAAACAAAAGGGTTTTTTCGAGTACAGAGAAAGAGGAGGAGGAGGAGGAGGAGAGTGTGGAAAAAGTGGCAGACGCAGCCATTCTCATGGCCAAAGAAGTATATAAATATGCGAAAATTTTAAATACATAATTTTTTTTAATAATATATATAATTTTTTATAAAATAAATTATTTATATTATCAAAACGGGATTTATGATATGTTCCGGACACAAACAACATGTTGTAGTGATGCCAACTCCTAATTGGTTTGAGAATAGATTATTTTAATAATTTTTTTAATTTTTTAATTAAAATATGGATTAAAAAAATTAATACATTTGAAATATTTTTTTGACTTTTTATAAAAATTGTAGAAAAAGGTAGAATTTTGATTTTTTATATGATTCTTTGGTTTTTTTTAAAAAACTTTTTTTAATAACTGTTAAACTCCCTAACTTTCTAATATATTCCCAAACCAAGCCTTATCATCTAGTCTTTAATTCAAAAGTAACATAACTAGCTATTGATCCAAAAATGTTTGAATCAACTGTTGAATGATATGTCATAATTTAACAACTAATCATTATTACTAATGGTGATCTTTAGATCAATTGTTAGATAATGACCAGATGAAAAATTAGAGAAGATCCTCTTCCATTAAAAATGTCTTTTTTCTTCTTTTTTTTTTTTTTTTCTAGCTCTCAATAATCAACTAACTTATGTTATTTCTACTTAATAAATTCTAATAAAAGTTGCATATTGTCATACACATCTCCAAACTTAAAAAAAAGAAGCTATAAATAACTCTGTAAATTGCATTAAACATTATTATGTGAATTAAATAAATTTATTACATACACTAAACAAATTTTGACTAGGGGATTTTTTTTTTCCAGTTTTTTATATTAAAATTTTATAACATAAATGACATTCAATATTTTAATAATGTGTAAGATCCATCAAATTGATCTAAAAAGAATTTGATCTAGAAAATTTCTTTTGACTTCACAAAAAATTCTCATCAGAAGAACTTCTCTAGACTTTCCGGAGAAATTCAATTCAATTCAAAGAAAATCTCTCAAAACTAGAGAAACTCTTCATTACAGAGCTTCACTTCGAGACTCGTTTTCGTCATCATAGTGATTCTCCTTGAGACAGATCAGGAACCTGAGGTAGACGAAGCGACAGTGTATGGGAGGAAGGAGTAGGACGACCAGCGAGGGTGGGACGCCATGTAAACATAAATTTCAAAACATAAACCTTACACTTTGGATCATTTACCATGTGTATTATCAAGAAATCAAGACAAAATGACATACCTGAATCCATTGATGAACGGTTAAACGGAAGCGTGATTATCAAAATAAAACCTTAATATTGACTTTGTTAGAGCCTTCTAATCCTTTCCCTTTGGTGCCTTATGTTTCTCCTTGAGAGGATTTAGAAAACAAAACAGTATTCTTATATCTTTTCTAACCCAACATCTTTTCTTTTACTTTTATAAACCAAACATCAATGATTTTCAAACAAAATCTCCTTCATTCTTCAAAATCACATTTAAGGAGGAAGTTTTCAAAATTTCAACACAACCCAACAATATACACACTCTCACAACCTTTCTCAGGAATTTATGCGAAAAATCTCTCTTTTATATTTCAAAATCAAATCCTAGATTTAACCCAAAATCTCTAAATCACTAAACCTTTTCTAAAGAGCAAATAACCAAGCTAAGAATTATAGAAAAGGTTGAAGAAATCCCTACCTTAAAATTAGAAGAGAAAGAGAGTAAGGGTAAGAGTTTGACAAGGCCGAAAATGAAATCCTCTCAGATTAAAATGAAGCTTTCAATGAGCTCTACATTTTTCTCCAATGAGCTACGGTAGAGAAATCAATGAAAAAGAGTGTGAAGCAATTAGGGTTAGGGGAGTTTTAGAGAGAGAGAGAGAAAGTGAAAAAGTGACAAAAATTCCTTTTTCCCAAACTAACATATGCACAAACCGCTCGAGTAATCGAAACACTGCTTGAGCGTTAGACACAATAAGTGAGACCGATCGAGCAACCAAAACTACTCAAGAACATAATAACCCTCTCCCAAAAGTTTTGCAGACTGCAAAAGACCGCTTGAGCACAAGAACGACCGCTCGAGCGAAGATCGCCCTATTTCTAGAAGTTTTACAGGTCTGCAAAAGTACTGATAGATCTCAATGACTGCTCAAGTGACCAAAACACTGCTCAAGTGAACAAGAAAGTAACTAGACAGCAATTCTTTTGAAAACTAACTTCCAACCTATTTCTAACACAACCAATAACTCCCACTCAACAACAGCAAGACAAGAAGGAACATAGATTGCGAATAAGAGTATCGGATCCCGGATCCAAAAACATGATGGGGGTCGATTCTTAGCCGGAACCGTTATAATAATATCAAAATAAAGAGGTTAATGAATGAGGTCCAATATATTTAAAACATGTCTTATATCGAATTCAAACAAGGCATTTGTTGTATCAAAGTCCATTATCAAGTATTATACGTGGTAACATCCAACAGAGCAACAAAAGGGCCTAAAGACCTAATCAAAGGGACCATCAAGGTCTAAGCAAAGGCACCATAAAGGTCTAACGAAGGGACTATAAAGGTCTAACGAAGTGACCACTCAGGTCATACATTAGAGATCTTTGTAAATCCAATAATCGAAGGGCCATGGTATTATATCCCCTAGGCAGGGCCTCACTAAAGAATGACATGAATACATTTAACAAAAAAGAATCTTCATTCATTCATATAAAATAACATTTCATAATATCATTCGTGTAACAATTTTCAAAAAACATTTCGAACATATTTTTATAGAGATATTACTCACTGTGGGCTTGAACAAATGCTAGACTTCGGGTGCCCAACCTCTACCAAACACATAACAAAAACACATTGAATGTCCCTCCCTCCTTGGCCCAGGGCCAACAGCCTCATCCTCCACTTGCCTTTCGGGGACGACCTTTGCGCCCCCTACGGCGATCGCCGCCACCACTGGCACCACCTCCATGACCTTTGAGGCAAGCATTTATTACGACAACACCTCTCCGTCGGAACAGGACCCCCTTACCCTTACCTTAGTTTTGCACGAATGAAAACCAACTTTAACCATTATTGGTTTTAATTTCTATTTATTGGTTTTCAAAACTGAAAGGTTGTGGAAGTTTAAAAGGAATGAAAACCAACTTTAACCATTATTGGTTTTAATTTCTATTTATTGGTTTTCAAAACTGAAAGGTTGTGGAAGTTTAAAAGGAATGAAAACCAACTTTAACCATTATTGGTTTTAATTTCTATTTATTGGTTTTCAAAACTGAAAGGTTGTGGAAGTTTAAAAGGAATGAAAACCAACTTTAACCATTATTGGTTTTAATTTCTATTTATTGGTTTTCAAAACTGAAAGGTTGTGGAAGTTTAAAAGGAATGAAAACCAACTTTAACCATTATTGGTTTTAATTTCTATTTATTGGTTTTCAAAACTGAAAGGTTGTGGAAGTTTAAAAGGAATGAAAACCAACTTTAACCATTATTGGTTTTAATTTCTATTTATTGGTTTTCAAAACTGAAAGGTTGTGGAAGTTTAAAAGGAATGAAAACCAACTTTAACCATTATTGGTTTTAATTTCTATTTATTGGTTTTCAAAACTGAAAGGTTGTGGAAGTTTAAAAGGAATGAAAACCAACTTTAACCATTATTGGTTTTAATTTCTATTTATTGGTTTTCAAAACTGAAAGGTTGTGGAAGTTTAAAAGGAATGAAAACCAACTTTAACCATTATTGGTTTTAATTTCTATTTATTGGTTTTCAAAACTGAAAGGTTGTGGAAGTTTAAAAGGAATGAAAACCAACTTTAACCATTATTGGTTTTAATTTCTATTTATTGGTTTTCAAAACTGAAAGGTTGTGGAAGTTTAAAAGGAATGAAAACCAACTTTAACCATTATTGGTTTTAATTTCTATTTATTGGTTTTCAAAACTGAAAGGTTGTGGAAGTTGAAAAGGAATGAAAACCAACTTTAACCATTGTTGGTTTTGATTTCTATTTACTGGTTTTCAAAGCTGAAAGGTTGTGGAAGTTCAAAAGGAATGAAAACCAACTTTAACCATTATGTTTTAATTTCTATTTCTGCCCCTCATAGAAATAGAAATTATACAACTAGTATCTACACATTAGGTCCATAACACATATACCCTTAAGCCTATTAACTAAATTGAATCACTTAAATTGTAGGCTTCTTATAAATGATAACACCACATTTAATTATGTGGTCCCATTAAGACATTATCTAACACGCCAGAGATAGAGGGGCGACGACGATGTAAATGCGGTTGGCAGGGCAACAACAGCGAAAGAGAGAGAGAGAAATGAGGGTAGTGCGACGGAGTGGTGAGAGGTGGCAAGCTACGACAGTGGCAGCAGTGTAACAGCGGGGCGAGACGGGGCGCAGGTGGCGGTCGAGGGACGACACTCCGGTGGCAGCAGCAAGGGGGTCGACGGCGGTTGACAAGGAGTGGTCGAAGGGGGCAGTGGGTGTGACAGAGTGAGAGTAGAGACAAGATCGCGATGCCGGTGGCAGTGCAGCAAGGGGCCGACGATGGAAGATGGATGATGGTGGCGTGGGAAAGGGGATTTTTTTATTGTGTGTACTGGAGAAGAAGAGAGGAAGGGGATTTTTTTTTTTTTTTTTTAAAGTTGAGAGAGTTAAATAGCTCTGTAATATATGGGTGTGGGGTTGACGGATTTTAGACATCACAAATTAATATTATAGATATCTTTCATTATTAAAAATAGAATAAGAACCCTAAACTAATTTTCTCTTTTGACTAATGAATTACTCACCAAAATATGATAATTTATTATGTGAATTAAAATTTAAAAAAGTTGTAATTAAATTAAATTTGAGTGATTCAGTACAATTTTTTTTTGTTTTTTTTAAATTTCAAGAGAGGATAATCTAATTTACCATTTATTTTATAAAACCAAAATTTTAATCAAAAAGTCAATGCACGGTATATTTGGACTAATTTTTCTTAGTAAATTTCTGAGCATGTAAAA